TATCCACCTTATATGTTACTACTAATAATATGGGAGCCCAGAAACCTTTAATCAGCAATGCGAGTACAAAAGGTTTGAAGCGGTAATTCTTAAGTGACAGCTCCTGTGGTCATTTTTGGTTGAACTACCCCAAACGACTCCTAAAATTGAGTTTAATTAGCATTTGAGTATGTCAACAAAACCAATTTTTAGAATTCTTTGATCATTCTTAAGTGCCCATTTGGCATTTAGTTAGCATATTTATTACATCAGTGAAATTCACAAAATGAACTTATATTAATTCTCAGAGAAAAGTCACACCATGGGGAGGCTATGCTTTTACTGCGAAAGTATTTCTAGTTTTTAAGTGCCAAATCTGGCGTGAAGTTTAATTAAAAATGGGTCAAATGGAAAAATAATTAAAATTTTGGTTAATCAGCATATTTTATACATCAACAATACTAATTTTAAAATATTCTCAATTAATTGTACAACCCTGTGTGTTAGACATTTAATTAGCATATTGAGTACCCTGTACTATTATTTTATTATTACTATTTTTATTATATTAGTATTTATACACAGTAGTTTATTGTGTATTTAGATGGTTCTCTGCATTTGTGTTGAACTACCCCAAACGACTCCTAAAATTGAGTTTAATTAGCATTTGAGTATGTCAACAAAACCAATTTTTGGAATTCTTTGATCATTCTTAAGTGCCCATTTGGCATTTAGTTAGCATATTTATTACATCAGTGGAATTCACAAAATGAACTTATATTAATTCTCAGAGAAAAGTCACACCATGGGGAGGCTATGCTTTTACTGCGAAAGTATTTCTAGTTTTTAAGTGCCAAATCTGGGGTGAAGTTTAATTAAAAATGGGTCAAATGGAAAAATAATTAAAATTTTGGTTAATCAGCATATTTTATACATCAACAATACTAATTTTAAAATATTCTCAATTAATTGTACAACCCTGTGTGTTAGACATTTAATTAGCATATTGAGTACCCTGTACTATTATTTTATTATTACTATTTTTATTATATTAGTATTTATACACAGTAGTTTATTGTGTATTTAGATGGTTCTCTGCATTTGTGTGTATTTTGAGGGGTTTCCAGTATTCTTGGTTTAATTAAATTCTGTTAATATATATATTTTTTTCCAAATAATTATCTTTCAAGGTGCTCTAACTAACTGTTTAACCTGTATGCTGCCATGCCTTTTGTATATGCTCTGTCCCGTATGTAAAATACTACTAGTCACTGACAATAGGACAAATTTTTTTTTTGCCTGTGCCAAGTGCGAGTTTTCTCGTCCACTTTTTACACAAGTTGGTTAATGTTCTTTGTTGGAGTTCCCCTTGGTCTGTATCATGCTTGTAAGGATGAAACCAATGGCCAAGAACACAAAAATTTAGCAGTTTGAAGATGCTTGTGTGGAATATCCCTACAGATTAAAAAAAAAATCATAGACACAATAATCTTTTCTTCAATACAAGTTCCAGCTTATGCATATAGAAAATTTTGGAAGCACAAACCATAATGCATGTTTGGAGACCCCCTTAGAATCATCAGTAATGTTAGAGTTACTCTCATTAAAAGTATTCAATGAATTGATTGAACATAATCGTTTTTAAAAAATTGATAGAATTACAGTATCTCTAAACCATTGAAAAGAATGATTCTATTTATTATGCAGTTTTTGCAATGGAAGTATCTAATAACATAACAAAAAAACAAACAACATTAAAATAGTATATAAAATCATAAAGGAATAAATACAGTACAGTATAAGAAAATGTTTATTTAAGAAGCCACAACATTCTCAAAAATCCTCAAGGTCACCACATATATTTCCAACTGTTCAGAAACTAACACTGTATTTAATTACATCTCTGCATAACACTCTCAATATTTTACAAATATGCTTTCCTTGTTTCTTATTATCACTCTTGTAAACACTGGATAGGAAGACATCTGAAGAATAAAAATCACTTTTCCTTTTGATATTTCCATTATTACATTCTGCTCTGAGATATTTTGTATTAATTTAGGCAGCCCTCAATAAACTTTTTGTTTTTTGGCATCATCTCAATAAGAAAAAAATTTATTGATTATTTTAGATCAATGAAAAGACGTAATGTTATGTTAAAAAAGTTCTTCAACCCCACCCTGGGATCAACCATTATGAAATAGAGATGTTTAGGTTGATCGACAGTGTATTCCATCTGAATATTCAGTCATCATTATCTAAACTGATAAATGCAACCAGTCTGTTTAATCAGCAGCATCAAGATATTCAAAATGAGAATGTAGAAAAATTACATTTAATTTTGCAAGCATCTTTAGAATTGAGCTACTGTAGTTTGCTGTTGTCAAAGCAACATAAAAGTTTAATTCATTCATTGGTGAGTTTTTTGGCCTGGATCTGAAGTTGTACACCTAGAAAATAATGCTATTTAATAAGTTTAATAATAAAAGAAAACAACAACAATGACAGTATGCAAGTTGCTATGACCACATAATGTGTATCAAGTCAGTGGTGATGTCATCACTTTCATTTGCATTGAATATTCCTATTCCCGACTGATCACTAATTTGATATACTGTAGCGCCTCTGATTTTTTTTGTCTTTTTTTGTGTTTTGTGCAAAATGCTCACAGCTGGGCTAATTTTACTAAAGTACACCACGATGGAATATTTCGTTGCCACCTAGGCAAGCTATGGCGCACACAGCGAACCTAACAAATCTCGCTCTACGGCACTGGTTAACATGTTTGCTGTTCTACACAGGGCCCATAATGTCCGCAGGTCTAAACAGCTTAAATGTCTTTTCCGAGGACTTGCTTTTCAGCTGAACAAAGCGAACGGCGATCAGATTTGAACTGAGATCTCCACGGTTCAGTACACACACAGTGGCTACTACCAGTTCAGCCTCTCTATGACCACAAGCAACTTTGGATAGGGAAAAAAAAAAATTTTTTGATTTGTATCTTTTATTTTTTTAATAGAGAAAAAAGTTGTTTGATGAACAACTGGGAAACGGTGAATGAGATACAGATTTTTGAATATTTGAAAACTGAGGAAAAAGGGGTGTAATCGCCCTTTTTCTTCAGTTTTCAAATATTCAAAGTAAGTTTCAAATCATAAAATTAAATAATAATAATAATAATACTAGTAAACTGTTGGAGTAATAAATATTTTAAATTATTTTTAACATAATTATTATTGTTATAACATCTTCCTTATGTTGTGTTGAATAATAGCACCTTGGACAGATACACAAACAAACCTTGGACACCAATTGCTTAATGTGTATGTTTATTTTTCATTTAATATATATCAAAATCAAATGTAAGAAAAAGATGAAAAAAGTTTTTAAAAAAGTAACCTATAAATAGATGATATAAAAGTTTTTTAAAGTTCAAATTTTTGGATACAGCAAATTCAAAGATTTATTCAATTTAATATGATAAAATTGTTTTATATTATGAATATTATTTAATTACTGTAGTGGTATATTTTGAAGCATGCTTTTCCAAAACACTTAACTTTTGATATTTCAACCCATCTGTTTCATTTGGTTCCAAAACTGTTTACTTTGGTCAACTAAGCACACCATTTTGGTATCCTAATCTAAAAATACAGTAAAAAATGAGAAGTCTCATTACATTCTAAAGTATTCTTCAAATATTAATCTCTAAAAAACATTTCTTTATGGTGTCCCCTGGGCTTTTGTTTTGGCTTTTCTGGTACATGTTATCGTGCTTGTCAATGCGAAACCAATGAAGAGAGTCCAACATTTTCGGCACCAGCACACCAAGAACACAAAAATCCTGCAGGTCGATTAGCCTGTGTGGAATATCCCTACGGAATGGAAAAAAAAACATCAACCTAAAATATGCTTTCTTTACTAGCTAAATAATATAAGCACAAAACAATGTATGTTGAATTATCAATAATATAACATGCGTGTTTAAAATATACCACCTGAGTATTATTATTATTATTATTATTATTATTATTATTATTATTATTAAAATGCATTTATATAGCGCCTGTACATCACAACCCATTATTACAAAGATAAATGTGCAATATTTTAAATCGATCAATAAAAATGGCAAGTACAAATTACAACTCTTGACAAGAAAACACTTCGCTGTAAAGCAAGAATACAACACACCTATTCTAATTATATCTCCTGAAGATGTACAAAGCAAGGACAGAGAAGCACAGCAAATAGAAGAAAGTGAAGATGCCAGAGGCTTGCACATGCCAACCACTCGTACAACAACTTACCAGATCAACTTTCAACCTTTCAAAAGCTAACACGGTATTTGAATTAATCTCCGCAGAACACTGAAAACATTTCACAAGTACACCCTCCTCATTTCTGGTTATAGCTTTTGTAGACACCGGATAGGAAAAGGTCTCCTAAAAGAAAAAGAAACACAAATAG